GGGTTCTCACTCTGTGGGGGTCTGTTGTGATTTTCACCTCCCCGGTGCGAAATTTCATATGAATAACTGACTGTAAATTTATGTTTTTTTGTGGTATGACCTAATGTTTCTAGCTTATGCACAAATTTGATGTCTGACAATCTTATTGGAAATTAATTTTTGAACCCGCAGTATTGAATCGAGTAACACTGAAAACGTTATTTTACAAGCAATATTCACAGCAACAGAATCGCAATTTTGGATTCTAGTTTGATTGTCGCTTTAAATTTACGCCATCTTGGCTAGGTTTTTGGGTAGAAAATGAACTCAGCAACCTCAAAACCCTTCCATAAGACATATTACAAGCCATATCCAACGGAAACAAATGAAGATTAAATAAAATTCCGCCATTTTGGATTTCGTTTGCGCGGAGGGGAGGAAACCGAATTGTATCCAAGAAAACCCTATCAGATGTATGAGTGGGCCTTGTACATTTTAGTTTAGCAATAAGTTGATAGTGGTAGGAATTATAGCGTGTGTGTTAGATAATGATAGTAATAATAAGCCGATAACTAGCATCATTATACGGCTAAATATACATATGTCTACCAATTCTACCAGATAAAAACAGCTAGAGGTTGGTCCCGATGATATGTCTAATAGGCCCCTAATCAGCATTACGTACATAAAGCCCAGAGTAAAAAAAAATAATCTAAAAATGGTTGTTGGATCAAGATCAATTTTAATTTCTTATAAAAACAACGGGATGTTCGCCGTGGCGATAGGTCTAATATCCAGCATGGCGTATGTATATAAGCCCAGGGTTTCTTAAACGCTACCATTTTAAATAAAGGAGCTAAGTCACTAATTCAATATTTTCCATAATATTTGGGTGTCATTTTGTAAGGAACAAACAAAACAATATCCTACAACACAATGTGGAAGTAATTAGTAAAGGCTCATTCACAAACGACAAAATAGTAATTTTAAAAAAGTGTAGAATGCACTAAGCAGGTGTAAGCGACTGTCGTTCAATTTGAACTGTTCACGTATTTCACCAAACATAACTGATTAAAAATAACAATTGAATATAAATCACTTTACATACATTCATATTACATTAATATATGCTTTAAGCACCATTTTTGGCTATTTCAGGGTTTCAAAAATAGAGCCACGCGCCCTTTAAAGATTGGCATAAAGATCGGTATATTACATCAAATATCGGTGTAAATCACTGATTTTCAACGTGTGTGTGTATGGAGGGGGGGGGGGGGGCACGCCTTGTGCCCAAGGGAGCAATTTGAATATTTAGAGTAGCAATTTGAAAATGATGTCCGGGGGGGGGGGGTGGATGGCCTAATGGTTAGCACGCGCGCGCGCGCTGTATCATACGGTCTGTCATTCAGTCAACTGGCGGGGTTTCGATTCCCGGGTTGTACGTGACAAGGAATAGGGTTGCCTGTCCAACCTTGTGTGTTTTCTCCGGGTACTCCGGTTTCCTCCCACTGCTAAAGACCCCTACGCACAAGCGAATTATTGAAATAAAAAAAAAAATTAAATCATGTTAGTCCCGAAATGACCTAGTTTGTGTCCAGTGGACGTTAAACCCCATTTCTCTCTCTCTCTCTCTCTCTCTCTCTCTGAAAATGATGTCAAGACGAAAACACTTTGCGTGCGTGTTCCATTATTACGTTTACACCAAAGCAACTTTTGGTACAAATCACTACCTCTTCTCCTCTATACATATTATCATGCATCTGGCACCACCTCTACGACAATTTGTTTACAGCTTAAGGAGGTTTAACGATATTGAATGAGAGTTATCAATGTCCTGATTAACCTGTGTTAATTTATGGGGGTTTTTTTGGGATAACTTTTGGCTAAATGGGCAAGACGCTGGTTCACTAGCCTAGAGGTCGCGTGTTCGATCCCTTCATTGGCCGAAAAAGTTCACCGGGATCTTCCGACGTGGTTTCCCCTTGTCGGTGGTGCAGGACGGAGGGCCTGACAAGGACAGCTGTTTAGTCTTTCGGGTGGGACGAAAAACAGAGGTCCCGTGTACACATTGGCGTGGACGTAAAAGATCCATAGCACACTATATGGCGTATGCCCGTCTTCATTAGCCCAGTCAGGAGCAGAACAGTAGGAGGTTAAACTCCATTTCATTTTATTTCATTTTTTGATATCTTTATCTTTTGGATTTGTAAATTGATACTAAATGACTTTTAAGATCCATCATTTAACTTCAGTTGTATTTATATAAACATTAATTTTATTCTCCCGGGTCATTGTATTCTGGGTTAGCGCGTACGCACTCTATTATAAGGTTTGTCATTGAGTCAACTGGCGTGATTTCGATTCCCCGGTTGTACGTGACAAGGAGTAGGGTCGCCTGTCCAACCTAGTGGGTTTTTTCCGGGTCCCCCGGTTTCATCCCACTGCTAAAGATCCCTACGCGCTATAGCGAATTATAGAAATAAAATTGATGTCCCGAAATGACCAGTTTGTGTCGAGTGGATCCCCCCCTCTCTCTCTCGTTGTATTCTGGTTATTCTGTTGAAAAAATATGAGAATTACAATATCGTCAGCCATTGCTTGATATCGTAGATTGGGAGCGCATATTTAATTCTGTTACTTTTACAAAACTCAATGTGTTTTCATATCAAAACGGGGCACAAAATAGTTTGCGATGTTGAGGTGGGGCATGGTACACAAAAGGTTGGCAACCACTGATGATTACTGTGGTGTTAAATCCGACCTTATGTCCCGTCTATTTTTCACCTGATCCTGACCTTGACCTTTACCCGAACTCTACAGTAATGGGCAGCCATCGCGTGTCCTAGCCAGGGGCCTGTTTCACGAAATTTTAACTAAGATAAAATCCAAATTTTAGTAATTTGATTGGATAATATGAGGTTGATTTTAGTGCTTAGCCAATCAAAATTGAAGTATCCACTAAAATTTGGATTTTATCTTTAGTTAAGATTTCGAGAAACAGGGCCCAGGGCCCTAACACGCCTATGTGGCGCCCCACGGCAAAAGTTTCAGTCCCCGCTCCCTTGCATACTGTAATTGCTTTGTTCAGTGCCTGTGTGCTCATTTGATTTTCTATGATTAAAGAAATTTTAAAATACAATTTTTATAGTTTTAATATTTTATCTAAATAACTATTTATTAAATCAACTTATACGTAAAAAAAATATATTTGTTTATTTCCCCTTCAACTCTCAATTTGATCGAAAAACCCTATATCTAGGAACAATCGTAATTCTACCTATACCCTCTCAATTTGCTGAAATATGAAAAATGAAATGAAATGGGGTTTAACGTCCTACTGTTCTGCTCCTAAACTGGGGTAATGAAGACGGACGTACGCCATACAGTGTGCTATGAGGGAAATTTTGCCCGGGCAGCGGCGCTACGGCCTACTCTTATATTGAATTCCAACTGCCAAGGGATCTTTTACGTGCACGCCAATATGTACACGGGACCTCGGTTTTTCGTACCATCCGAACGACTAGATAGCTGTCCTTGTCAGGCTCTCCGTCATGCATGACTGACAAGGGGAAACCCACGCCGGAAAATCTGGATGAACTTTCTCGGCCAATGCACCCGACCTCCAGGCTAGCGAGCCAGCGTCTTACCCATTTAGCCACGTGATCCCCCTGCTGAACTATGAACTGGTTGACACAAATGCAGGGGAAGCAAAGGCCGGTGATTTACTATCCCAGGCTAGTCCATAAATACTCAAAGGGTGCTATGCACTTAGATAATTTGCCGCCCGCTAAGAAGTGTACCCGGGCATATGCGCCCCCCACCCACCTTCTCTGTGAGGGCCGTGGTCCTAGCCAGTGCCGGACTGGTGGGCCGAAGGCCACCTGTCAGTTTATTGACCAAGACCCACACAAGTACGCGCCTTTGGCGCGCGAGCGACCGAGGGAGGTCTGCGGGTGTTCTACCCCCAGGAAAGTTTTGAAAATTGACAACCGCAAACCCATTTTTCAAGTTAAAAGATGAATTTCACGGTTCTCGGTATAATGAGGTCAAACTCATAAGGTTCTTTCCTTGTAGTACACTTCTTTTTTTGTGTTGTTTGTCAGTAATTTTTTTTTCCTATCTTTTCTTTCTCCTGTCCTGTGTCCTGTCCTCTCCCGCCTTCTTTCTTTTCTCCCCCCCCCCCCTTCTCCTTTCTTTCTCTTTTCTTTTTTCTTTTTTCTCTCTCTTTTTTCTTTTTATTATTTTTCTTTATAGGCTTCGGCCCACTTTTTTTTAATGAGCTTAGGCCCACCTGTCACGGACAGGGGGACAGGTGGGCCCAGTCCGGCACTGGTCCTAGCCCTGTTTACATCTCATGACCTTAACGAAATCTGGATGTGGCCTTACTATTTAGATCTGACCCAATTTACAGATCTGTTTTACAGAGGTATTCCGATGGTTCACAGATGTATTGGGAGGACTAGCGAATATTCAGCAATCTGTTTCACAGAGAATTACGAGTAGTAATATCTCTGTCAAAGAAGACTGCCTTAACACGTGCCGTCACAGCACGCGGGGTTAATCATTGGCTGAATGGCGCGTGCATTGTTTACATAAGACGTTACTGCTTCGGGCGGAATGCTGCCTTTTAGTCATTTTAATACCCATTTACACTAAATAGGAATTAATTTTTACCTACGTCAAACGCCTTTATTTATTTTTCCAATACATAAAAAAATGTTTTAGAATTTAATTTGTCGCATGAAAAAAGTTAATAGTTCTGGCTCATTACGTCGCATCGGTGCCATCCTTATCAGTGATTGTAGAAGCCTAGCGAAAATTCACTGCTGATCAGTGTGAATATTCAGTGTGCAATTTACAGTTAATAGTCAAAGAGAGGTAACTCTCTTTTTAAAAGCGGACTTACAATAAAGGGAGATCAATCGTGCATCAAATCAAATTGTCTGCGATATCACCTCGATGGAAGCGGACGTAAAATACAACTAACTCATCATCAGCATCAAATCAGTGCACTCGGCAAATCTCGACAGATTCCGGTACCCTATTAGATGCGTAGAATCTGTCGAGGTTTGCCGAATGCAAATCAGTGATAACAACAAAGCATGTCCCAGTAAAGTGTGTTCGTGTTCTGTAGGCATAAAACTGTACGATCCATATATATAGTGTAGATAGTTCCGTGTTCTAGTCCTTCCTAGTATATATTAAAGATGACTACAGTATGGCGGTGGTATTTACGCAGTTTACAGAAATATCCAACTCGAACTATGGCTACCACAACAGGTAAAAGTCTTGGACCATTAATGGATAGCATCAATTCTTCCTCCAACATCCGATGTGGCTGCACGTCTACCACCAGGCACTAGCCCCAGTTGGCGGCATGTCCATAAATTGACCGTAATCTATAAAGAGAGAAGTGGGGTTAACACAGCCACTCGACACAAACAATGCCATTTAGGAACTAACTTATGTCGCAATTTTATTTCAGTAATTTGCTTGTGATGTGAAAATCCCAATAGGGCCTTAGTCGGCTTAGTATTCTGTCCCATCCGAACAACAAGACAGCTATCCTTGCCAGGCTTGCCATCCTGCACCAAATTAGGTCAATTATAAGCTCCCATTTCCATTAACATAACAGTACCATTGGAAAACCAGGCCAGAAAATCCCAATGCAAGCACTTAATAACTCACTGGCACACCTGATGATATAAAGTGTGCATGTTGAATCATTTGACCCCTAAGGCTTCTTCTACTTATAAGTTAACCCAATTAAACTTATTATGTCAGGGTTAAATTTTGTAACCGGTTGATAAAAGGGCATTATGGTTGATGTGACTCCAGTCATTCAAGATCCTATCCCTAAGGGCCTAACCCTATATAGTCCCTAACCCTAAATAAAGGGAGTAGTTCAACCATGATATCCTTACTAGTTTAATTATTTTATAATAGGCATACTCGTTTCATTTTTTATAGTTCAAAATTTCGTTTTACTTGTCTTTACTCCACTAAGATCTGGAAGAGTTGTTATATAACAGGCGTTCTTATTGATGTGAGGAATTAGCCAATGAAACAGTCTGTTACGGCGACTTCTTGGCGTTCTCTGCGCGGAACTGTGGGTAAACCCCTAGAAACGTCAATGCTGGTTGATTAATCAATGTCTGACGCCATACTGTCAAAAGTCGCTCGTTTGACCCCTGACATGAACCCCCACTATTGCTCGTTGAAAATCAAAAGGCTTCTTCGTCTCATGATCTTAAACACTGTGTATAAATTTAAAAGTCAATTGGATATTAACTTTGACCTCTAGAGCATCCACAAGATTTTTTTAAGTGATCAAGGGCCATAACTCTGGCAGTAATTATCGAAAATCGCTGAAAATCAATAGGCTTCTTCATCTCATGACCTTAAACACTGTGTATAAATTTAAACTAAAGTCAATCGGATATTAACTGTAGCCTATAGAGCGTCCACAAGCAATGGTGGACGCCGGACCAACAACAATATACGACCACATTTCAATGTGGACGTATAAAAACGAAACGAATTACAGATCTGTATTTTAATCTGATTGCGTAATACATTAATTATATATTTTCAGGTACCATAATGACATCTGGTGATTTATTAAGTCAGTTAGTAATAGAGAAAAAACAGTATGAGCCCGTGAGAAGTTTACGGTATCTTGGCTTTGGTTTAATATTTTTAGTAAGTATTCGGAATTATCTATTGGTCCATACATCATCCACAATGGCATTTTAATATTTTCCGATAATTACTTTGAAAAATCTGACAAAGTAAATCTGAATTTTTCAGCATGGTTTCCTGTCTTGCCGATGGGATGCAAGATCTTCATTTTTAAACACCCACATTTTTATGTGGACGTATATTGTCGACGTCCGTCTGTATGCCCGTCCGTCCACAATTTGTTTGTGGACACTACAAGTCACAATTTTTATCCGATTTTGACGAAACTTGAATTATAGGTTTATCTCCAAAGATCTCGATATTGGCATGTATCGGAACGTAGCTTCATGGATTATGGCCCTTGATTGTACGATTGTGGACACCCTAGAGGTCACAATTTTTATACGCCCCTGTCTGTCTGTCTGTCCACAATTGTTTGTGGACTCTCTACAGGTCACAATTCTTATCCGATTTTGACGAAACTTGAAATATAGGTTTATCCCCAAAAGATCTTGGCTGCTTTCGATCGAAAATTCATGGATTATGGCCCCTGATTGTACAAAAAATCATGTTTCTCAAATAGCGTAAATATATGGTATATCAAGGTTGTGGACCCTGTAGAGGTCACAATTTTTATCCGATTTGAAAAACCGTATTATTATATCATTGTTACACCCTAAGAACGGCTGAGTTCGAATTTCATGAAAATCGGCCCAAAACTGACAGACAAAATGGCCGCCCTTCATTCTCAAATAGCGTAAATATATGGTAGAGGTCACAATTTTTATCCGATTTTGTTGAAACTTGAAATGTAAGTTTATAACCCAAAAATCTCGGTTCCTTTCGATATTCGCGCGTATCGGACTGTAACTTCCTGAAATATGGCCCTTGATTGTACGAAAAATCGTGTTTTGAGGTTTGTGGACCCTATAGAGGTCATAATTTTTATCCGATTTAAAAAAACGTATGATTATATCACCGTTACACACTAAGGATGGCCGAGTTCGAATTTCGTGAAAATCGGTCCAAAACTGACAGACAAAATGGCCGCCCTTCGTTCTCAAATAGCGTAAAAATATGGTATATATATCAAGGTTGTGGACCTTATAGAGGTCACAATTTTTATCCGATTTTGTTGAAACTTGAAATGTAAGTTTATAACCCAAAGATCTCGGTTCCTTTCGATATTCGTGCATATCGGACCGTAACTTCATGAATTATGGCCCCGGATTGTACGAAAAATCACTTTCTTTTTAGCTTGTTCTCTATTCATCTCTCAAAAATGTGGGCGTATCCTGCCTGGCAGCCGCTGGTTATCCTATTTTGATGAAACTTGAAATATAGGTGTATAACCCAAGGATCTTGGTTCTTTTTGATATTCTATATAAAGTGAGGTCTTACGAACACGTTGGCATGTACATAACAGAACTTTTGAGACGGGGAAAAAAACGCTGTGGGGACAAAATTTCTCTCACACTCACAGCACAAGGAATTATGGCGTACATCTTCATTAACTCAGATAGTTTGGAAAAACAGGACGTTAAAGTTTAAACCCCATTTCATTGCATTTCCCTTTTTACGGACATAACCCAAGAAACTTAAATGATCAAATGCGCATCCTTTGAGAAGTTTCTTTATTTGAAGATAAATCATGAGAGATCAGATAAAGAGCTGGCAGTTCTCACTATAATAGTTAAAAACTATATAATGTAAAGGGAATATGCTGAAAATTTCAGTCAAATTGCTCCACTGTGAACCGAGATATTAGTGATTAATTTTTCGGCCTAGCCTCGGTCATTATTACTAAAGTCGGTCCGATAAAAAACAGTCTCGATTATCCATTTTTTGTTTTAGTCATTGGTGAGTGTTGAGCAGCAGATCTGATTCAAATCCAGTGACTATCCGACACATAAAGATGGCATTGAGAATTGATTATGGTTTTTTTTTCATGTTAATAGATGTCTAATTAATAGGTTATATAACATTTCAGGCCCAAAGAACGATCTGCAATAGGCAGATTTAGCTCTTGCATAATGCATGTTTAACCCATGAATGAAAGTTGAGTAGCAAATCGGATCATAATCAAGTAAATATCGCAGGCTAGCGATGACATCAAGAGTTGATTATGGTCTGGATCAGTTAACTAATGTGTAATTAATAATTTAGAAAACATGTCAGGCCTAAATAATGTATATTTAACTTAGAAAATATGTAAATACCATTTTAGGGACCTTTAATGAGAGGCTGGTATTTATTGTTAGAGAGATTATACGCTGGAACCAGATTGGCGTCATTAAAAATGGTTGTAACAGATCAGGTGAGTTATTAATTTGGTTTTGAATACAATTTAATGGAGCTAAATCGCTAATATTTTGGATCTAGAAATTGACACAAATGGGTCGCAACATATAATATCAATGTAATATGAATGTATATAAACTGATTTACATTCAATACTTTCCATTTATACTCTAATTTCAAATCAGTTATGTTTGGCGAAAAATGCCAGAAGTCTCAATCACATGACAATCTCTAGCATCTGGTTATTCCAGTCTACACTGATAGTATTTATTGCGCATGCTCTCCAAATAAGTATATGGCGTGGGATGGCCGAATAGTTAGCACATATCATAAGGTCTGTCCTTGAGTCAACTGGCCTGGTTTCGATTCCCCCGTTGTACATGATGAGTAGGGTCGCCTGTCCAACCTCATGGGTTGTTTCCTCCCACTGCTAAAGAGAGAGAGAGAAATGGGTTTAACATCCGCTCAACACAAACTAGGTTATTTCGGGACTAACACAGGTTTCAATTTTATTTCAATAATTCGCTTGCGCTTAGGGGTCTTTAGCAGTGGGAGGAAATCGGAGGACCCAGAGGAAACCCACGAGGTTGGATAGGCGACCCTTCTCCTTGTCACGTACAACCGGGGAATCGAAACCCTGCCAGTTGACTCAATGACAGACCACAGCGCACGTGCTAACCATTTGGCCATCCCCAACCACTGCTAAAGACCCCTACGTGCAAGTGAATTATTGAAATAAAAACTGAACCATACATTAGTCCCAAAATGACCTAGTTTGTGTCAAGTGAGAGTTAAAACCCATTTCTCTCTTTCTCTCTCTTTTCATTTCACTTATTGCTACAGATCCTTAAAAACTTTTTTCAGCTAAGCTTTGCACCATTGGTTTGTTTTTCCTTTGTGACTGGTATGGGTTTGTTAAAAGGAGACAGTGTGGCAGATATTAAAAAGACTTTAAATGAGGTATAATTCCATTATTTCAATTTTTGATGACATATTCTTGCTCGATCGTCAAGCCCTGGCCTCTTTACCAGAAAGTTCCGTGTTTGGATCCTGCAAGGACTGAGAATAGCCTTTTGGATTAATTGTTTCAATGGCATTTAGTAATTGAACTAGAATATACAGGTCACAATTCTATGGAATACAATTACTGCTTATAACTGAGCGACGTTTCGACTAGTCTTCTCTAGTCATTATCAAGCTATGATAGAATATGAAAATATAACAAGACAATATGCTCAAACTAAATTCAGACAAAACAGAAGTGTTATTGATTGCCCCTCCGAGAAGATTAAAGAAGAGTAACATTACGTATTTCAAAATTGAAAATTCTAACATCAATCTTTCAAATCCCATTAAAAATCTGGGTGTTATCATGGAAAATAATCTATCAATGGAAAATCAGATCAATTTCCTCTGCAAAACATGTCATTACCACATTCGAAACATTGGTTCAACACGTCATTTCATAACAGCAGATGCTGCAACAACTCTGGTCCGATGTCTTATTCGATCTTGACTAGACTATTGCAATAGTCTATTATCTGGTATAACGAAAGAGCAACAAAATCTACTTCAAAGGATACAAAATTCAGCAGCTAGAATTGTTTCACGAGCAAAAGTTCGCGACCACATTTCACCTGTTTTATCCTCTCTTCATTGGCTTCGCATAAATGTTGCTAGAATTGTAGAAAACTCAACTCTTGCGCTACGAGCATACAGTCAGTGTGGAATAGCGCTATACAAATGTTCACATTATCATTATTATAATATGTACATGTACACAACAATACTTTGTTAATGCTGACCAACTAGAGACAGACGCCCTTCTAATTACCTTGGAGAGAACCTAACTTAAAGATACATTATATAAGATTTAGATACAGAGCTAGCCATTCTTGCTATAATAGTTCCAAAATAGATAATGCAAAATGAATTTATTGAAAATTTCATTCAAATTGCTCCATTGCGAGCGAAGATATTAGCTTTTGAAGGTGTGACAAGGTGTGAGCATTAATTACAACCACTGCACTGGTTGTTTGAAGCTTAGCCTTGCTTCACCATTTTTAGATTAAATCAAAATATGGCTGAACCGTTCTAATCTACATCGAGAGTTGATTATGATCTTGTCACATAAAAGTCTAATTAATAGTTTATATAACATTTCAGGCCTAATGAAAGATCTGCAATAGGCAGATTTAGCTCTTACATAATGTTTGTTTAATTAAAATAATGTCATTATAAAAGTTTAATGCCAATATGGCAACATCCAATACGGCATATAGATCATTTTACCTGAATAGATTAAATGAGTAATTGTTAGACAAAAAGCAATGCTGTCAAAATCACACAACCTTTTCTAGGCGGGGGTTCAACAACTTGGGGTGTGGCAGGGGGTGGGGTCACCCGTTCATAAATTCATGTGCCACAAGAGGTTGCAGCATATACAGCAATTGATGTACAATTTCAGAGTGACGAGCAAATCAATATTCGTCACCATAGCAATTTTTTATGCCAATATGGGAGCAATTGAAAATAGTTTACAATTTGCATGTAAAATTGCCTGTAATTAATTGTTGTTAGATTGACCTTTTATTATTGTATGTTTCAGATCTATTTCGATATATTAATAGCCAACTACCAGGTATATCATTTATATATTACTATTATTAGCTTTCAATAAGTTGAATTTGAAGGGAGCCTCAGTGGCTAAGTGGGTAAGATGCTGGCTCGCTAGTCTGGAGGTTGCGTGTTCAATCCCTGCATTGACACGAGAAAGTTCATCGGAATTTTCCGACGTGGTTTCCCCTTGTCAGTGGTGCAGGACGGAGGGCCTGACAAGGACAACTGTCTAGTCAATTGAATGGGATCAAAAACCGAGGTCCTGTGTATACATTGGTGTGCACGTGAAAGATCCCTTGGCATTTTAGGACTAACACATGGTTCAATTTTATTTCAACAATTCGCTTGTGCATAGGGGTCTTTAGCAGTGGTAGGAAACCGGAAGATCCGAAGAAAACCCACAAGGTTGGACAGGCGACCCTACTCCTTGCTAGATACAACCGGGGAATCGAAACCATGCCAGTTAACTCAATGGCAGACCTTATCATACAGTGCACACGTTCTAACCATTCAGCCATCCAACCACCCTATTTATAATAGGATAGAAAGATAATTAGGATGTTATTTGTAATAGCTTTTATGTTTTGTTGTAGGTGTGGCCAGCTGCTCAGTTGATTAATTTCTACTTTGTACCTCTACAACATAGGTAGGTAAAAAAAAAAAAATACAACCCTTGGGGGCTCATTTATTAAGACGCTTGCTCATTATGAGTAGGTGTTGGGTTCGATTCCTGTGTTTACCGAGAAAGTTCCTCAGGATTTTTCAGCATGCTTCCACCTTGTGTAGTACTACAGACTTCTTTATTTGTTGTGTTCCTTGTGATCGTAAATAATACTACAGCAACAATGATTTCACAGCTTTATTGGTAAACTGGAAATAACTTTACAGGTTCCTCGTTCTCAAATATATAATGGCTTCTTGGAATAATCTGGGGAGAGTCTAATCCAGCTCGCCTCTACACCCTAATTTATACCCCCTAATTTCTGCAGGTCTTCGATAACCTTGACGTTAATTTCCACGCCATATAAGGAATAAAACTCTTTATTTCCCACAAATAAGATAGGAAACATTACCTATTTTTGGTCTATCAACCATAGGTCAATAAACAGCTAGAATTTGATGACTATTTTGACAATGATTATAATTTGACCAAAATATCACTGTTTTTTACGAATAACTATATCCACGTTCATTATGTACGTGTGATTTGACTTTATAGACAAAATTGAAGAGACAATTTTATAAAGAGCCAAAATTGTCTCAAGGGCCAAAGTGCTACACTTGTCAGTGGTACTTAGTTGTTTGGAAAACTGAGGTTCCATTTAAACAGTGTGCACGTAAAAGAACCCTTGACAGAACACCACTGTCAGGGCAAAATTGCCCCCACAGCGCACTTCATTCATTAGCCTGGTTTGGTGCAGAACAGTAGGTTTAGTAAGTTAATTATTAAGATTAACATTTCAGGCCGAAAGAAAGACCTGCAATAGGCAGATTTAGCTCTTGCATAATGCATGTTTAATTCAGATGTTATTTAAAACTTGTACATATTTGTATTTTTCAGGGTGCTGGTAGTGAATTTTGTAGCTTTAGGATGGAATACGTATCTAGCATGGAAATCAGAGAAAAGTAAAAGTTCATCATGATGAGTGATTTAATGGTATATATGGACTAAAAACATATTCAAACTAATTAATTTGTCATAATTTTGCTTCAAATCCTTCTCAAACATTGTAATTGCAAAGGAATGTCCTGCTATAAAAATTCGATCAAACCAGGTCATGTTTACATCACGTGACTTACCTCTCTTGGAAGTCAGAGGAGAATTCATCGCATACATAAGACGATGTTGTCTTTAATCACTTACTATTTATTACAAATATGGAATCCTAATTAAATTCTCGGATTATCCACTACCCACGTCTTTTTCGGTCATTTTTATCTCAGAAAGTGTTGTACGTCTAACTCTTCATAAAGTTTATCAACTTGTACATCAAGCGTTCAATGTTCGCGTGTGACCTTTGACATCACGCGTGCAGAAATTTCTAATCGTCGGGCTGTTGATTAGGGGAACCCTTACATTTTTGTCCTGTATACGCTCCATGAGTGTTTTTCGGGGAATCTAGTATTTTTCTAGTCAGATTGGATATCTCTACTTTCCATATATACAAATATTACCATACTTTTATTGGAAATAACCACCCGATAAATACTTTTCTGGGAACTCATCTTTAATGTCTTGTGATTTTATGATGATAATTAGACCTAATCATTGATTTGTGACCGGAAGATTTGAATGAAATAATCATTGATTTGTGACCGGAAGATTTGAATGAAATAATCATTGATTTGTGACCGGAAGATTTGAATGAAATAATCATTGATTTGTGACCGGAAGATTTGAATGAAATAATCTGTGATTTGTGACCGGAAGATTTGAATGAAATAATCTGTGATTTGTGAACGGAAGATTTGAATGAAATAATCTGTGATTTGTGAGAGGAAGATTTGAATGATATAATCTGTGATTTTTGATATATTTGATTTATGTTCTAGTGTAAAAATGATTCAAATCAGTCACAATATTTTTCATAATATGTGTTCCAGTGAAAAACAATCCAATGGATCCAAAACACTACCCCTCCCCCCACACACACACACACACACCTTCCGCACTTTATTCCTATGTTAAATAATCCAGAAAGCTAACTCCGTAACTTGTGTTCCTGTGTGAAATAATCCAGAAAGCTAACTCCGTAACTTGTGTTCCTGTTTGAAATAATCCAGCAAGCTAACTTCCTAACTTGTGTTCCTGTGTGAAATAATCCAGAAAGCTAACTCCGTAACTTGTGTTCCTGTGTGAAATAATCCAGAAAGCTAACTCCGTAACTTGTGTTCCTGTGTGAAATAATCCAGAAAGCTAACTCCGTAACTTGTGTTCCTGTGTGAAATAATCCAGAACGCTAACTCCGTAACTTGTGTCCTGTGTGAGAAAAAAATTGATTTTGAACATTTTCCCATCCTGTAACTGTTTTCCAGTGTGAAACAAGCTACTCGATTCTGAACAATTTCCCCTCCAATATTTTGTGTTCCACTGTGTATCAAACCACTTGATTCTGAACAATTTTCCCTCCAGTGTTTTGTGTTCCAGTGTAAGATAATCCAATTGACCCTTATTACTTAGATTATATTTTCCACAATTTGTGTTCCAGTGCCAAATAGAGAGAGAGAGAGAGAAATGGGGTTTAACTCCACTCGACACAAACTAGGTCATTTCGGGACTAACATGGTTTAATTTTATTTCAATATTTCCCTTGCGTGTAGGGGTCTTTAGCAGTGGGAGGAAACCACGAAGTTGGGCAAGCGACCCTACTCCTTGTTAGGTACAACCGGGGATTCGAAACCACGCCAGTTGACTCAATGACAGGCCTTATGATACAGCGCACTCATGCTAACCATTCGGCTATCCACCCCCACCCCAGTGCCAAATAGACCAATCAATCCTAAACACTTGACCCCTCAATATTTTGTGTTCCAGTGAAACAGACCAATAAAACAAACACTATACATGTATTCTGATAGTAAACAAACTCTCATTAACCATTTAATAATTATTAAATCATTCACCACCAATCATGTTTAAATATGTTAAAAATCTTGAGTATCTGATGGAATCCTGAGTTGTTTATGGTCTTAAAGGGGAAGACCAACAAAAAAAAACATCGAAGCAGACGAAACACACGTCACTTGCAAGCTGTCAAGCAAACCACGTGATATAAACAATTAGCCATGTGGCGTGAATTGAGACACAGCCTACTGTTCAGTATGAGTGAATTAACACGACGGCTTTGTGTACTTAACGTTAATAAAACATAAATTCGTGTTTATGATATCCTAATAAACAGCCCATTTGATCCGATTTTCGACCAAAGGGCGATGCGTGAACACAATACAGTAGTAAACTTATGCCAAATCTGTATGCTTACTATAAAGCCCAGTCAGCCTGTTGAACCAACTATGTCACTTCCTGTTTTAATAAAAATTAATTTCTCACTTACAAAAACTTTTTTGCTTGTGCTAAAGAGGGGATTATTTATCAATATATATTTATGGTTTATGGAAACCTTGTTGAAAATCGTTGGTCTTCCCCTTTAAAGGGGCAGTATAGAAGATAAGATAAAGAGCTGGCAGTTCTCACTATGATAGTTAATAAACGAGATAATGTAAAGGGAATATGCTAAAAATTGCTCCACTCTGAACCAAGATATTAGCGTTTGAATTTTAGGCTTAGCCTCGATCATCATTACTGAAGTTGTTACAATAAAAAAACATAGTATCAATATCCATTTTTGGATTTAATCATCGATGAGCAATGCGCAGCAAATCGGATTCAAATCCAGTGAAAATCTCACACATAAGATGACATCGAGAGTTGATTAAACCTACATTAATTAAACCTACATTATTCTAGAGCTAAATCTGCCTATTGCAGGTCTTTCTTTAGGCCTATGTTATCTTAAGTATTAATTAGACATTAATTAACTCGTCCAGACCATAAATAACTCTCGGTGGCATTCCGATTTGCTGTTTGATTTCCATTCATAATTTAATCAATAAATGGATAATTGAGACTATGTTTTTTATCCTACCGACTTTAGTAATGATGATCGAGACTAGGCCGAAAAATCAATCGCTAAAATCTTGGTTCATAGTGGATCAAATTGACTGAAATTTTCAGCCAATTCCCTTTACAGTATCTAGTTTTTAACTATTATAGTGAGAACTGCCAGCTTTTTGTCTAATGTATGTTTAATGTATCTATAATGTATGTTTAATGTCTAATTAATGATTTAGATAACATTTCAGGCCTAAAGACAGACCTGAAATAGGCAGATTTAGCTCTTGCATAATGCATCATTAAACGAATTAAAGCATTTAAATTCATGTATGTATAAATGTGCTAATTTTAGTCAAATATTGTATATGTCCAATTAGTATTTCTCTATTATGCCACTATGTTGCAGGAGACTAATCAGCATTTAAATAAAGGAGCTCAGTGAATTGTATATTTGAGCAAAATTTATTTCTGTATATCTCTTAATTTCTCTGTTATGGAAGTCCAATCAGCATATTTTCTTATTTAGATTCAACAAAAACCCCCAGGAAACTGTTGTTGGTCAGGGTGTTTAATGTCTGCTTCCACCAAGAGCGATATCGCAGACAAGTTTTAATATTTGCATTATCTTAGTGCATGTGCAGGTGTCTTTCCTGTGGGAGGAAACCACATACTACCTCTAAGCCACATACGCTAGTGATCGAAGTGTGACACTCTACACCCTATTAACCCTTTAGTACTGGTACTTGGACCACCCAAAACTGACAATTGGGTGGGGTTCCTTATACAGTCCGTTGGAAATCTCCCGGAAAACCAAAGAAAAAACTCAAACTAGCACATTGGAAGAACAAAGTAAATTAGAAATCTTGCCCAGACAGCCGCGCTACGGTCTACTCTTATATTGAATTCCAACTGCCAAGGGATCTTTTACGTGCACGCCATTGGTACACAGGACTTTGGTACTCTGTCCTATCCAATTGACTAGACAGCTGTTGTTGTCAGGCCCTCCATTCTGCACTACTGAAATAGAGGAACCATGACGGAAAATCCCAATGAATCAGGGAAGCGAGTCAAATTAGTTTAGTAGAATAGAAGGATATCACTCGAAATACCGAGCATGATGTATTTACTGACGAAATTTTTGAATAAAAATCATTGTACCCTTTGGGGTTGGGGGGGAAGGATGAGACCCCCTTCCACAAACCTTTTGTTTAAATAATTAGACATTTATCAGGTGTTGATGTTTGATGATACTATGGGTTAATATCAAGGGAGATAACTGGAATAGGCTTGACAATCGCATTTGCTGTATACAGTAAACTTCACACAAGTCGGATCTTAGTGGACTGACCAATTTTATCCGAGGTAAGCGAAGATCCGAGTTAGCCCAAGACCGAAATTCAATCTTAGCTCCATTAGAAATAAACTGCAAGAGCCGGATAATTATTGATTCAAAGGCACATTTCAAGCTTTTGTTCGTATGAGCGAGTAGAGGAAAGTATTTTGCGGCTCTGTGCATGAAATACCTAACCAAATTTTAGACCATCGGGACAAAACTGACAATAAAATTCTGAAAATACTGTCGATCCGACTTAGGCGAAAGAAAAAAAGCCGGATTAGTTCAAATGGACGAAACATTTTGATCGGAGTTGAGCAAAGATTTGACTGAGAACGTACCGGATCAATGGGTCCAACCAAACGATTTTATCGAGGGTTGAGCAAAGACCCGACTTATGCGAGGTTTACTGTATTTTGGCAAGTTTTCCACAAACAAACTCTTGTCTATACAATTGAAGTAAAATAATGAGGTTATTTAAATTTAATTAAAAAAGAAATGGAGTTTAACGTCCTACTGTTCTGCTCCGACTAGGCTAATGAAGCCAAGCATACTCCATGCTGTGAGGGAAATTTTGTCCGGATTCCAACTGCCAAGGGATCTTTTACGTGCACGCCAATGAAATGGGGTTTAACGTCCTACTCCGATTGGGCTAATGAAGACTGGCATACACCATACAGTGTGCTATGAAGGAAATTTGCCTGGGCAGCAGCACTATGGCCTACTCTTACATCGAATTCCAACTGCCAAGGGATCTTTTACATGCACGCTAATTGTTTACACAGGACCTCAGTCTTTTCATTGGCCAAGACCTAAAATCTGTGTTAGGATTTTACGTCTCGGCAATAAATTTCCCAAATCATTCAATTCAGGGAGGGGATAAAAGAAAGAAAACAAAAAATATTTGTTTTATAAATATATTTTTAATTGCTTGGAGTTTCATTGTCTTTCTTACAATTTGTTTAAATAAATATCTTGGGGGTTTTTTTTTATCCAATCAAATCTGATGTTAGTCATTACATGTATACATACAGAAAGTTAATAAATATCTTGTTTTTTATCCAATCAAAACTGTTGTTGTTACTCATCACATCCAGACATATAAAGAGTCCAGGTTTAACTAAGCCTCATTGTCTGACATAAAATACAACTAACACACACACTAAGCCTTCTAGTCTATGATATCATCCAAGGTGGATTAAGCCTACTATGTGGCTTCTCTGGCAAGTTTCTTATCTAAAAAGCACTCAATTGTGATATCATCAAGGTGGACTAAGCCTACTAGGTGGCTTCTCTGGCAAGTTTCTTATCTAAGAAACACTACCGGTGTGCAGACCTAAAACCCTAACAATCAACTGTGATTGGGTGACAAAATGGCTTTTTTTGTCTGATCTTAGTTACAGTTTCTTACACAATTCCTGTTTCTGACCCATTATTTGTTATGTAGAACTATCATTTCATTTATTTTCAATGTATCTAATCTTATGGTCCAGCTACAATATGCTCTATTATAAAAGCAGTGGGCTTGTTTTATTTTGTCCAATAAAAACGTTAAGGTTTCATTTATCCATGAAATTTACAGAGTTCAATTTTGGATGAAACCCATCGTCTTTAAAATTCTCATACAAAAACAAAAATATTGCAAGTAGCAGAGCTCAAACTGTTAGAATATCTAAATTAATTCACACGCTCAAGAATTAATATGATAAATGGAGGAGGTTAGATCGGAGATGACCTAGCACATGTGACATATCGTCGGTGAAGTGTCAAAAGGGTTTATTTTGGGAAATTAGTCAAATACTTTTTTGCATTTTGAAAATCTCCCAATATGCACATTTCTGTCTAAGCTGTGTACCTCTACGCCAATTAGAACTGTTCTGGGTATCATGTGTCCAAATGTATCTTGGTTTGTGGAAATTTTGAAATGCAAAAGGTTCTATTTCTTAATTTTTAGAAATTCTTAGATACACCCTTTTGACACTCCACCGACGATATGTTGAGTTAGGGTTAAGGTAAGGGTTAGGGCTGCAAATTTTGTCAAGGTCTTGAGATGTAAACAGAGCTAGCACTAACCCTAACCCCAGCCCTTACCCTAACCCACAAATGAGCTTTTAGAACCATTTTTGTCTATTTCGAAGTTCCAAAAAATACAGCCATACACCCTTTAATACACATACTCAAGAATTAATGTTTAACAGGACTAATGCCAACAAAATATTCTGGCTTCCATGACTCAATTCCACTTTGATTTTCATTAACAGAGAGGATGTTGTGTATAAATGGATATATTCAATTCCGCTTTAAGTTTCATCAACACACAGGATA